GCCATAGCTGCTCTATCGCCAGGCCCTAGGAACAATGTCCAGTGCCCTGGGCTCCAGCTGGCCACCATGCTTGTTGTGCTGCACCACCAGGACAACCACCGCCTAGCCCAAGTCACTTTTGGCCCTGGCAGGTCCCCCATGCAGTGGGGCCACCTACCCAGGCTCACCACACCATCCCAGGCTCCCTATCACCAGGCTGCTGCCACTTGGACCCCATACTGCTGCCTGGACCCCAGCAGGGATGCTGATGATGTGCACATAGACGTCACCACAGGTGCCGTCCACATGCTCCTGGGCCTCCAGCCCCTCCGCTTGTCGGCCTGCCAGCCAGCCAGGATTGAAGGCTGTATGTAGACAACCTGGATGGCTGGCCCTGGACCCCAGCCCCACCACGCACCCCCAGCACCATACTCTCTGCAGACAGTTCTCAGAAAAGCACTTTATTCCCCTTCACAACACACAAACCCCCACTCCCCTCCCTCCCCAACAACAGAGCCCTTCCCCCTCTCCCTGACACCAGATCCGTACCCAACCCAACCCACCCACCACTGCCCTCTTCCCCATGCAGACCCTGTACAGTGCTGTGTGTGTCCCCCCAGGGTGGGGAGCAGAGGGATGGGGGTGCCTATGGGGCAGAGCCCAGGGACAGGCACCTAGCACCCTGGCCTCTGTCTGCACCCCCACAGGTGTGCATACCATGGCAAAGCCAGCAAGTGGGGGCTCACCTGGGGGCAATGGTAGGTACTGCTCTGCTGGTGCAGGCAGCGCTCCTTCCTGCAGCCAGTGGGCCGGCCAGCAGGGCCTGCGCATGGGGCTGGCCCTGCTGCAGGCAGCTCCTGCTCCAGGGCTCCATGGAGCCAGGGTGAGTGGCAGGACTGGGCCCAGGTGAGGATGCCAGCACCTAAGCCCAGGCCCACTGAGGGGCTTGAGGCTGGGTGGTGGCAGCTAGTAGCCAGGAAGGGCTGTGGCTAGCAGCTGGGTGGTGGGCAGCATGAAGGTGGCGAGTCGGACCCCACTGACGGCGAGGACGTGAAGCTCCTGGTGGTGTCCTACAGTGCAGGGGTGTGGTGACTAGATGCCCAGACACAGGTCCCCTCCTGGGAGGAGCACTAGAACTGCTGAGGGCCAGTGGTGCCATGGCCGGCCTGGCTTCCTGAGCAGGGCTTTGCACCCCAGATCTGGCAGGGCAAGCACTCGCCTGTGCTCCCAGAGCTACTCAATGAGTCCAAGGACAGGGAGCATGGTGGGATGGGGCTCCTGGCAACCCAAGGAGCCCTCCCCAAGGGACACAAAACCACAGGTGCAAGGCTGCAGCAGAGGCTCAGGCAGACCACCTGTGTTCGAGCAGATGGGATGGCTCCAACGTGCACATCTATGACATCCAAGGTCCCAGGGCCAGGGTCCCAGGTTGAAAAGGTATCATTCAGCTGCTATATAAAAGGGCATGGACTTGCAGGCAGCCCCCAACTGGTAGCTGTGGTTGGTGATGGTGACCCACCATGCCTGCAAGGTCTTAACCTTTATGCGGCAATCATGTGCCAACCAGTCATGCCTATGCCCCTGCTCCAGCCTGACCTCAGCCTCACTCCACAGCACCATGAGGTCCGCAGTCTCCTCCTGGAACTAGTTGTAGCCATGGGAGGAGGTGTGTGGTATTGGGGAGGACACCAGCATGGCTCCCTTGATGGCTGACTGGCTCTGTGCACAACATTCCTGGTGCTGCCAGGCCACAGCAGCTGCCTGCAGTGCCCAACGCAAAGACACAGAATGGGACAGGCAGGCATGCAGCGATGCTATGCTGGGCACCAGTGGTAGGGTCCAGGCAGGGTGCTGAGGCTGGCCTGGGGCCAGCTGGAGCAGGACCCAGTGGCCAGAAGCTGGCTTCAGGTGGTTCAGGGCCTGGCAGGTGCCTGTAGCACCCAGTGCAGCACAACAGCCTGGGCCTGGCAGCCACATGGCTACCATAGCTGGCCTGAGGCCTCTGCTGCAAGATGCAGTGGCCATAAGCCAACTGCAGGTGGCCCAAGGCCCTAGTGTCCCCACAGGCTTTTAAGGACCAAGGGCTAAAGTCAGGCAAAGAGCCACCCCAGTCCTGGGGCTGGAAAAGCTCCCAGTACTGTAGCCCTGGGGCTAGCCTGCAGGTGGCCCCCTGGTGGTAGGGCTGACAGGGAACAAATTTGCATTACACGTGCGTTACTGTGCAGTAACTACTCAGGAGTTAATTTGCTACTTGTATTTACAAGTTTTATCAAGTAGCAAATTAACTCCCAAGTAGAGCAATTTACTATGCAGTAAGCATCTGCATGTGTAGATGGTGATGCTTACGGCGCAGTAATTTGCTTTTCTACACAGTAAAGCATCTTGTGTAGACATGGCCAAAGAAACCCTGCCTTGAACTGGGTAGCTGCTCCTCATCTTTAATGAAAAGATCTTTGCATCAGACTTCCAGGAAATGTAGGATGTTGTGCTCATCTTCAAGACACAGCAAATTGCAAGAACATTTTCTTTTCCTTTACCCTTCCACACTGCAAGTCACTAAATTGGAGAATGAGCATAAATGTTCAGAGGCAAAGGCGACCATCAACTCTATTTTTACTATACCATATATTTTGGTTATGGTCTTCCTGCAGTTAAGTTACAAGTTTTAGCGACTGCATTTGCCAAACAAGAAATAAGAACAAAGAACAGGCAATGTAAAACAAGCAAAGCCAAGTTCCTGATAACTCAGAAAGTATTAGTTTTACTCCAGCAGTATGAAAAGTAAAATTTACCTTTGTAGTTACATCCTATCCCAACAGAGCCTTCCAGGGGCTTAAGCAAAGCAAAGAATTAGCAAATTGTCTGGGGTTAGTTTACACTCAACTGATCCATTGTATAGCAAAACTCAATTACAGGTTATTAGCAGGGAATTAGCAAAAATAGAAAAGAAAATGAGCACGAAAATCTTGTTTCTATGAAAGTCTATTATCTAGGAATAAAGTAAAGAAGAATCACCTTAACAGAGTCATGGCCTGGAATGAATGTAACAGACTAGAACGGGGAAGATGCCGGAAAAGGAATTACCAATGTGTCTTTTTATTAAAGTAAGAGGCATAAAATACTACTGTTCTGGTAAAGTTATTCTAATCTAATTTTCCTGCTGGGAAAATAACTGAAAGCAATCAAAATTGGCCAACAGTGCATATAGTACTAATGAACCCATTTTGCTCTAAGCATAAAAAGAATTAGAATTGCCAGCAGAAGACAATTTTACGACCTGTAATGTGCCATCTGCTGCACTTTGTCCACTACAGAGACACTAGCAGATTCAAGTTCAACTTAAACACTTTAATTCCTAATTTTACAGGTATCTGAATTTACTAAATTGGACTTGCCTGTACTAGAAGATATAGCCAAGTAGGGATGAAGCATATGCCAAAGAGAACATTTCTGCAGTTGTAGCTGTACCACCTCCACAGACAGCATAAATTAAGCCAACAAAAAATCTTCTTGTCATTATAGCTGCAAAAAGAACATGTGGTTCTGCCAGAAAGAATATATTGCCTAGACAGCGTGGTTCATTCCCCTACCACATACATTCATAACCAACACGGCTTCTCAGGCAAAACTGTATAATGCATAAACAAACCTGGCCTAAATTAAGCAGAGCTGTATAGGAATCAACTTCCCTTTGAAACTGTTTTAAGACTGATTGCAAAGGCCAATCACAAATAGAAACTCCAAACAAATGTGTTCTGCTTCACCTAGGCTACTTCCTGATGCAGAAGTGGCATTTACATGTTAGTCAGCAGTGCCAATTAGCCTGCCAATAGCGCCATACAAATGCAGCTACACTGCTACCAGTTTGGACGGAAATGTCCACAAGAGACACGCAACATGTCTGAGATCACTGCTGCCCAGTACAGTAAGTTTGCAGTTACAGACTATTCTGAAAAGAGTCTTTTAAAAACTTACAAGATTGTTTAAAAAAACTGGTAAACTTAAATAATATAAGAAAATGTTCCTGTTCTTTTCAAGATTCTTGCTAGGGCTGGGATGATGCGGGCACTACAGTTAACTGCCCAAGAGGTCACAAGTTTGAGGCCACAGCGAAACCGCTCATGGCACAGCCTGTCAGATGCCAACAAAATCTGAGAATCCTGTCAAATATCTCATCACAAGGACATGAAAACAGAAATGATTCTTGCTGGGTTGGGGAAAGAGAATATGAGATCTATAAATAAAATTCCAATAATACTGCTATCTGATGTCATTCTATATGCAGATCTGGTAGAGAAAAGAAAACACTCACAGATCCTACAGTCATGTTTCCCCGAGTCCAATTATACTAAAGAATTAATGATGAGCCTCCTCCCATTAAAATTTGGGACACTGCCCCCGGCCCCAAGTCAGCAGCACTACTGCAGGCAGAGGCAGATCTACATGGTGCCCCAGGCAGGCAGGCAGCAGCGGTGCCTCCCTGCCAAACTGTGCCCTGTGCCCAGGACACTCGTTTTAATCTTCAGGGACTGGCCTACGAAATCTGGGACTGTCCTAGCCAAACTTGGACATATGGTCACCCTAATTAAAGTTAACAATAAAACTCACATTGATTTTTTTGGTTCGGGGTCAGAGCCTGAGTGTTATTCCTCCAGCAAACACAAGGTCAAAGAAAAATCCACAATCGCACAACTAAACAGCAAAAACCTGGAAGCTACACAAAACAAAAATCAGAGAGAAAAAAAACTGGAACTGGACTGGAACCAGTTAATCAGAAGTTTTCTGGTCTCCCAGCATAACATAATTCCCATTTATTCTCTTGTAGGGAACATGGATGACAGTGATAAAGAATGATCTTTTCCCTTCTTCATTACAAATGATATAATATAGTACCTATGTGCTTTTAATCACATTAAGTACATGAGTTGTGAACTTGAAAGATGGCACACTGTATAAATAAAAAAATAATTATGAATTTATATTTTGCTAATTAATGGGATATTTTTAAAACACGTACTTACCCACAGCAATACTTTGCACTTGCTTGGTGATGGAATTCCATCGGGAAATTTTTTTACCATTTATATCCACATACAGAAGTGAGTTTTCCTTTTCTTCCCAGACAGGGGATTCGCCAATCTTGCAGTTTTCATCGACAATGCACTCAACCTTAATGGATAACATTGCTATAAAAACCCTGCTGGATTAAGGACACAGGTGTGAATACATGAATTTACATTCAATTTCACTTCTGTTTTAAATTGAAATAAAGGCTGAATTTTTCTCTTATGCTAAAATTAATGTGCTATTTTAACAATTATTTTATAAAATTATTTTCTTATCAAACAATGTCTGAGGACTAGAAGGAAAAATCTGCTTTTCCTGACTATAACCAAGTGCTTATTTTGCAATATTTGGGTTGAAGTTTTGGAGTGTATATGCAGAAGTCAAATATAAAAGTCAGAATCATTTAATAGTCTGGTCAAGTGGTTGTCCTTCCTCTATACTGAAAAGGTTGAGGACTGCTTCCAAAAACAACTATAGAACACCTATTTAAAGCCAATGGCTTAAAATATGTTTCCTATAATGGGGATATGAAAGAATCAACCAAATCAACTGCGAAACCGAAGACTCAAACAGAAGACTGAGTCTTAAATTATATTAATCTTAAAATAACTTAAAATATGCTGTAGGAAAGAAGTTGACAGTACCTACTTCCAAAATAAGTTTAAAAAGGTCAATATTGACTGTCCAAAGTTTTAAAACTTTCACATTAAAAAAAACCCCAATGCTGAAGACTTAACACAGGTTCCAAAGGTCTGCAAATGTTTGTGATGTTAAAGGACTCAGCAAATTGTGTTGGACAAAAACCTTAATTAAACCCCTAACAGTTTTTCATTCTGTAACAGCCACACACAGGATATTGTCTGAGGAGTGCCTAAATCAGCGATTTTCAGAGAGTGCCATGGCACCCTGGGATGCCTCAAGATCCTTTCAAGAGTACCTCAGATGTTAGCACTGTTAGGTGTACACACGAGTCACAAGATAAACCTAGAAATATCAAGTAGAAATCCACAGTGTCAAAACCATTCCGCCCTGCTGTGGTCGTTCTGAGTTCTTTGCAATAGAAGAATCGCTCTACTATTTTTCTGTAGTCAAACAAAAGAAGTGAAAACTAAGAATTGGCATTTTCCAAGGGGTGCCTCAAGTCTAAAGAGGGATTTCTCAAATCCGAAAAAGGTTGAGAACTACTGGCCTAAACTAATCTTTCATCCAAAAATAAAACACAACAAGTACTTGGAAATGATCAAAGCTGCTCTCTTTTTCCATAATAGGAAACAAAGTAAGTGAAATGGACAAAAAACACAAATTAAGTTAAAAGTGACATTAGGTATTAATGTCTTCTGGAATGGCACTTCCCTCTAGAAGGTAAATTCAGCTTCTGGTAAATTTTTAGATCTGCAATTCTGTCAAATCAGCATTAATTAAACACATTTTAACGTGTTCAGATTGGCTTGACTAACACTACGTAAAAGGTGAAAGACTGAAAAAGCGATTTGATTCATAAGTGTATAAAGTATCAAAAACGGCAGGTAGAAAAGCACATCAGAGTTCTGATTCACAAACTCAGAGAACATCACTAGTGTGTTTTTCCTATGGAATAACAAGCTTTTCATTTTGCACACCCATAAATTTAAGGATTAAACATGGCAACTTGGGTAGCACATGTTTTGCATTTCATTTCATGGAAGTTTCAAGGGGAAAAAATAAAAATACTGGTACCCGCAAAACTTCCAATGGCCCTTTTTCAGCTAAATAAATAAATAAAAGCTACTCTGGTGTCAAGGAAAAAATTCTCAGCCGAGTTAAACGCACAAGGCTCAAGTGCTAGAATATAGGGGTGCACTGATAAAGATTTTTTGGGTCAATAGCCAATGGCCGATTATTAACAAGCCATATCAGCCAATACTGATCCAATTGCCGATACACAGCCCTGAAGCTTGGAAAGTAGCATCCGGATGGCAGATCTATGAGGGGGAAGGGAGGTGGGGGGAGCAGATGGAGGCCTCTAGGTGAGGGAGGGAGTGCGGTGGGTTGGGGCAGTCACTGCCCAGCCAGGGTTGGGCATGGGATGGAACCACGAGCAACTCGCTCAGGGACCGTGGCGGGAGTAGCTCCCACCAATGCATGCACCCCCAGGGAAGGCAAGGGGAGCATGCGCCCCCTCGGATCTATGCACAGGACGAGGGTGGGGTGCCACTCCCCACCCCTCACAGACTAACCAGCTGGATGTTGCTCTCCAAGCTGCCAGGCTGGCCGCATACATGCTGCGCACATGCAGGCAGCGTTAATCAGAGACCTTATCAGCCACATCAGCCAAAAAAAAGCCAATTACTAATAATGTAAATTTTCCTTTTATTGGTGCCGATATGATATAGACCAATATATAGGTGCACCTTTACTAGAATACTTTGGCTCCAGGCAGGTCATAATATTCAAAGCCATCAGTCCTCCTGCTGCTTACCTATACATGCCATAGGAACAAGTTTAATGGTACTATTCTAGCTATATAACCCTTGCACTCTGCTGGCTGCAGAAAACAGCATGCCCTAACAACACTAGCAATTAGGTTGACCTTTGAGCCTGACTTTTTGGCAGATATCAGCAGAAAGAGGTATGTGCAGAAAGCTTTCTAGAAATAAGCTTCTGAAAAACACTTATGGCACCTATGGAATGCAGTAACTCCACATTTATTGGGGTTAACTGTCTCACTTTTCTTTTCTGTTTTTTACCAAATCATGCCAATTCCTGTCTTTCGTAGCAAAAAAAAAAAAGGGGGGGGGGGAAATCACATGGCTATGAGCACTTTACATGCTAATTAAATAAATCTCAGTACCTGAACTGTTAAACTAGCAACTGTGTTTGATTTTATATGAAAGCTTATTTCTACTACTACTACCATTACTTATTTCTTAGATACACGATTAGAAAAAAACACTGTCTTAGCATGCACTGTCACTCTGGCACTACTAAAGCTGATACTAGAAAGTGAAAACATCTGGCTTTTTCTACTCACGCAGTGGCAAGAATTTCCAATGAAAGTGGCTAGCTATGTTAGTCTAAGGTCAATAGTTAGTCTGTAATGGGAGTGCTTAACTTCTGGTCCATGGATCCATGGCATCCAATCCACAGGGCTCCCCAGGGGTGGGAAAATTTGTCAGTGGGGGAGCAGTGGCAATTAATATGGTCACCCTCCCGTGCTGCCAAATTCCTAAAAGCAGGTTAGGGCTGGGAAATGCCACTCACCCCCCACAGCTGGATCAGGGCTAGGCCATGCTCCTTCCCTACCTGCAGCTGGACTGGAGCCACATCAAGCTCCCTTCCACCTCCATGGGGTTATATTGGGGCTGGGCTGCCCACCCACCCCTCTGCACAGCTAGATGAGGTCTCACTGCAACTACCCCAGGTGCCAAATCAAGACCACAAGTCAGATCCAGCCCACAGATAGATCAGCTACTGCCTATCTGGCCCATCAGCCAAAAATGGTTGAGCACCACTGGTCTATAAGGTTGGTTTCTGGCTGCCCCCACCCCCACTTTCTGCTATAGGCATCAGGGTGTTTTTAAGCCTCTTTCACTAGGCACTGGGAATTCAATGGCTACAGCTAAGGCTGGGGACTTTGACTGGGGTGGGCCAATGCTCCTGCTGGGACCCAGCCTGGAGGTTCCTGGCTCAAGGGTCTTGCCCCCTCTGCTCAAGGTCAGGCCAATCACTACAGTAGGGGTCAAGAAATAATTTGGTCAAATTGGCATCTAACGTCCCAGGGGGCTTTGCCTTCCTCTGTCTGGAAGCCCCTTCCCTGGGATTTCTTGAGCATATATTGAGAATATTTCATAGAAGCAGGACACTGGCTGCCCTGGTTCCCCTGCTCAACCTGTTGCAGGTGAGGGTGTTAGGTCCACACTGCAGCAGATCTGAGAGTCATCTTAGATGGCAGACTTGCATGGGATGGTTTGGACAAGGGTGATTCTACCTCAGGCAGGGGGTTGCACTAGGCAAAGGTTCCTTCCAGCCCTGTTCTTTACAATTTTAACCCAGTGGTTCTCAACTGTTTTTGTACCAGGACCCATTTTTAATAGGGGTGCACGATAGAGATTTTGGGGGCCAATACTGAGAGCCGATATTTAAGGAGGCATATCGACCAATACTGATCTGACATCTGATACAGCTGCCTCTGGGTGGTAAGTCCAGTATGGTGGAAGGGGTGGGGGGGCAGATCAATGCCTGCTGTGGTGAGGGAGGGGGCAGGAGGCAGGCACTGCCCAGGGGGGGCACAGGACAGAGCCATGGCTCATGGGGTGGGGACAGCTACCACTACTGCCTGCAACCTAGGAAGGCGGGGGCAGTGGGGCATATGCCCCTGGATCGGCACGGCGGGGGGGCTGGCAGCATTTGTGGGATAGAGCTGGAGCTTCATGGTTCTTCTCACCAGGGACTGGACTCGGAGCCGGCTCCAGCAGCACTGGGAGGAGGCTGCAGCCACCCCAAATTTTGCAGCAGCTCCACTCCCAGCCTGGTGCTGCTGGGCATTTATCAGACACATTATCGGCCCCATAGGGCCGATATCCAATATAGACAATTTTCATCACATAAGTACTGATCCGATATCGGACCGATTTTTTGGTGCACCTCTAATTTTTAAACACTGATTGCCAGCCCTGACCCAGTGCCCCTCACTCCTGACCCACTGCCCCCCACACCCAGCCCCAGTTTCCCACATTTTTCTCCTTTAAGGGAGAATCCATTTTTAAAGTTTGTTGATGCATTTTTAAAGTTGGTTCATGACTGTTTCATATATTCTTGCAACCCACTTTTGGGTCGCAACCCATGGGTTGAAAAATGCTGTTCTAATCTACCAAGATGCAAGCCTGCCTTTTGTGTGGACTCCCAGCCACATGCTTTGCCTTTCAGGGACATGCCCCAGCCGCGCAGGGAGGAACCTGTGACACCTGCCTTTGCAGAATAAAGATCTCAGGAAATGGAATCATAGAAAATGAGGGTGGGAAGGGACACTGGCAACACGTAAGGGGTGCACCCGGGTGCACGTGCACCCCCCAAGTGTGGCCGAGCACACCCTATGAAAAAGGCGCCGCCAACACAGTCATCATCCCAGCCGACTAGATCATCCCAGCCAAGGCGGGTGGTCGCCGCTCACCATCCCTCACCCCCCCTTGCCACCGACACCGCCCACATCTGCAGGCGGTCAGCGATCACCAATGACACTGCCAGTGGTGTCTGCGGGTGGTCACCGACCCCTGGTCAGCACTCACCCCTCCCCATCAGCACCAATGGCATCTGTGGGAGGTCCCCGCTTACTGCCACTGCGCTCCCACTGCTGCCAGTGCCACTGTACCGCCCCCCCCAGCTGCCAGGGACACATGTCATTCATGGGAAGGGACCTCAGGAGTTCATCTAGTCCAACCCCCTGCTCAAAGCAGGACCATCCCCAACTAAATCATCCCTGCCAAGGCTTTGGCTACCTAGCTGGATCTTAAAAAACCTCCAAGGATGGAGATACCACCACTTTCCAATGCATCTGGAATTACAATTGAGCTCCCAAAGTGAAAGAAGTCAAGGCAAGAGGGTCTCAGGGAGCTGCAATACCCTGCATCCCTATCACAGGCATAAGATCTCCACCCAAGATCTCCAGGGGTTTTATACCAGCCGACAGGCACTTGGCAAGCAGCAGTGGAAAGGAGGAAAAAAAGAGGACCTGAAGAATGCCAACAGCAGCAGCTGCCATTGGGACGGCAGGAAAACATAAATGCCACCACAAGTGCCTGGCTTGTTTCATCGCTTGTGCATGAAAACAACCCAGGCACAAGTGAGGAAACAATCCCTGCGCTTAGAGGATAATAAAGTGATGAAAAAAAAATAAAAAAGCAAAAGTGCAGCCCAGGGCAGCGGCATCGTCCACGGAAGAGCCAGGATTGGGCGGGCTCTTTCCTTTCCAGACCCCGACAGCTCCAAAACAGAAAAAAAACAAGGCTCGGTTGCTGAGCCTACACCTCCATGAGCACAGAGAGAGGGAGCCTGAAGCCACGCAGCAAGCAGGGCAGACGAGCAATCCCCCTGCCCCGGCTGCAATCCCGCCCGCAGCCCGCAGTCCCCCGGCGGTACCTGCCTCCCGCGCTGGAGCCCGGCCGCAGCGCGGGTCTGCGCCCCTTCATTTTAGGATCCCTGGGCGTGTTTCACACACCCCGAGAGGAAACACGCCCAGGGATCCGGGTTTTGTCTGATTTTTTAAAAATCCCCAATTTTCGGTTAAAAAAAAGTAACCCCAAATGCACGTTTTCCCGTGATTTAAATGAAACACCACTAATGTGTGAGTGTATATCTCTATAGTTATCTACATACAAAGACCTATCTATCTATCTATAGTGGTGTTTCATTTTAGGATCCCGGGTAATGCTTCACACACCCCAAAAGGAAAGACTACCCGGGATCCCGGTTTTGTCCAATTTTTTAAAAATCCCCAAGTTTCAGTTACAATAAAGTAACCCCAAATGCACTTTTTCCTGTGATTTAAATGAAACACCACTCACGTAGAGGTGTATATATCTATATAGAGATTTACCTATCTACCCATCTATCTATTTATACTGGTGCTTCATTTTAGGATCCCTGGGCGTGTTTCACACACCCCGAGAGGAAACACGCCCAGGGATCCGGGTTTTGTCTGATTTTTTAAAAATCCCCAATTTTTGGTTAAAAAAAAAGTAATCCCAAATGCACGTTTACCCATGATTTAAATGAAACACCACTAATGTATAAATGTATAGCTGTATATAGACAGACAGATTTATCTAGATAAATAGCGATAGCGATATCTATATCGCTAGATAGTCTAATATTATAAATGCCTTAATATCTGTCCATCTGTCCATCCATAATACTTTATTCGCGTTCTGATTGGCTGACTGAAACAGCCAATCAGCGTGCAAATAAGCATTCAGCTAGGAGGCGGCGGCAGGGCGGAGCACCCCTACGATGGCGCGGACACAGGGGACAGAGCTGGAGGGAGTGAGACAAGGGCAGCTGGCCTGCCCTCCCCCCCAGGCACCCTGTTCCCTGGAGGCAGCAGCAATGGACCAGACTGAACGGGGTGGCCAGGCCAGCACTGCTGGACGCACCCCCCCGCCCTGCTCCCTGCAGGTGGTGACAATGGAGCAGAGAGGGGGGAAGTGAGGCCACCAGAGCTGGACTCACCCCACCCTTGCTCCTTGGAGGTGGTGGCAGCGGCAGCACAGGGGAGCAGGGTTGGGATGCCGTGGGGCGGGGGCAAGGCCACTGGCACTGGCTGCGGCCCGCCCCTCCGCCCTTCTGCTGTTGCCCCCTCCAGGGCCAACGTGGGCCAATGCAGCAGCAGTGGGGGGAGAAGTGGGCAAGCTGTGGTGGTGACAGTGGCAGGGGAGGGGCATGGGCCTCCTCCCCCATCAGGCCTAGGCCCACTCCTCCCCCACCCCATCTCTGTCCCCTGTGGTGGCCTCCCGTCCCTCTGCCACCGCTGGGTCAGCTCAGGCCCGCTGCTCCCCACCGCAGCCTAAAATGGAAAAGCCACAGCTTCCCATGTTTTTCTCCTTTAAAAAAAAATCCATTATTAAAGTTTGGCGACCCATTTCTTAAAGTTTGTTCACAACCCTTTCATATATTCCTGCAGCCCACTTTTGGGTCAGGACACACAGGTTGGACTAGATGCCAATCTAGTCCAACCCCTTGCCTGAGGTCGGATCAGCCCTATGCAAACGGTCCAAACGTAGCGGCCTTCCATAGACAATGGGTTTTTTATTCTGTTGTCCCTTTGGGCCTTAGGTTACACCAAACTCTGAGAAGGAAGGAAAGAAAGATCCTGAGACCAGGCTGCTAGGGGGTTTTCACAGGGCTGCCCTCAAGCCCTCAGAGATTACAGCCCTACTATAGCCACTGTGGCTGCAACAGTAATAGAGAAGGGAGTGGAGAGCCCAGGGTTGGTGTATGGCACCCGTGTGCTTTTAGTCATGTTCGGTACATGTTTTCTGAACCTGAGAGCTGCATTCGACATAAGAGGGGGGAAGATTTTCCTTTCTTTAAAAGGCACCCGATTAAACCTTAGCATGGCATCTTCTCTCTGGAAAGGGCACAGCCGCATGCCATGAAACGAAACCTCTTCCAACATCTTGCCTGAAGATGAGGCTGGAAGATAGTCGCACACACTGAGTAAGTGTTACCTTCCAAAGGATTTGTTGTAACCTATGGACAAGTCCCTTTAAGTCGGCACTTAATCAAAATCCCCCACCCTGCTGCTTGAGACTGAAGCTAAATTCACCCTTTGCCAAGTGGTTTCTCTTCAGGGCTGCAGGCATTTCCCAAGCACAACACACAATGAAAGCAGTGGCTCCTGCTTTTACCATTGCAACACCGGGGCACTTGATTGATGATCATCTGTATTCACTGACTCCAGTCACTGCAGACTCTGTAGCAATCACTTCTGTAGTCACTGTTGCCTGCCCCCTGGCAATGGCCAGTTTTCTGAACTAGAATAACTGGGTTTGAGAACAGGATGGAGAGCTGAAGAATAGCCTGCTCTACAACCTCCTCTTCTTTGGGCTGCTGCCCCTTCTTTCCCAGCACACCCTGCTAAGCAGACACAATGAGGGCTACTGGGACAGGACGGGGACAGAAAATGGCAGAGGGGAAGGTTGTGAGAGGGAAGGGCAAATCAGAAAAGGAAGGAAAGAATAGTCTTTAGTCTGTAGTCATGTCAGATCTGTAGTCCAACCGCCTTGTCCAAACATTTCCTTCATTGGCCCTGTGAAGAACGGGCTTGCTTACGTTACACTCATACATTCCAGTTACTTGCAGGTCCCCCAGTATAATCAGGTCTCATGCCTTAGGGCTTCAGCTGGTCATCTCTGCCCTAATACATAATTGGTATCTGATCTTCCTAATTTGCCTTCTTTTGAAGCATCAGAGATTGTTACAGCTGCAGGTAGGACCATATGGGGCTGATACACAAAATCCTCTTAAGCATCTGGGAGGTAGATTTTTCTCACGTGCTTCGGGTCATGCTGATTGCCAGATCTGGAATCAAGGAATTTTTCCCCAGGGTATACTGAGAGGGACCTGCAGAGTTTCTGAGCTGTCTCTATAGCAGTGTTTCTCAACTTTTTCTGTAACAGGACCCTTTTGTAAACATTGATGGCCAGTCCTGACCTAGTAAGTAGTTTAAATAGAAAACAACCCCTGGCCCTGCCAGTGCCCCTCACTCCTGACCTGCTGCCCCTCAAACCCAGTGTTTGTGGGGTTGGGGGTGGGTGTGTGGGGTAGGGAAGGCATGGGGGGCACCTCCTTCTCAGATTTGTATGCCTGCAGCAGGCATGGAGCTAGTGCCTGGCTGGACCATCACAGGTAAGTGATTCCCACTGTAGGAGGGTAAAGTAGGGCAGCAAGACTTGTTGCTGCTGCCATGAACCCCACACCATCCATGGTGCCAGTGGCACAAGGAGTAATGGATGGGGGGGGGCCACGCTCACCTCACTGCCTCCTGCAACCAGCTGCTAGCATGCCAGGGCACAGATCTACCCCATGCTATGGCTTGGTCACTGCCACTCCCCTCAGGCCACAGCTCTACCCTGGAGGGGAGGGGAGGTGGCAGGCAGCATGGGAAGCCTGAAGAGAGCAGTGGTGACAGTAGCTGGGCCATATCAGAGGGGTAGAGCCATGGCCCAGCACACAAGCAGCTAGTGGCAGAAGAAGGTGAGGGCAGCATGGGCCCCCTCCCCCACCATCCATTACTCTTCATGGTGCTGGTGCCATGGCTGGTGCGGGGTTCGCAGTGGTGGCAGCGGCAACAGTTCTTGCTGCCCCACTCCATACTCCCATGCAGTAAGTGCACAAATCCGGGGGGGCACACGTCCCCTCACCTGTGCCCCCCACCCCAACAGATCATCTATGTCCCCCTGCCCCATAGACTTATCTGCTGGAAGCTGCAGGAGATGCTCTTCACCTTGCCTGGCTGCCATATGCAAATGGTGCCCCCTGCCTGATTGCCCTCCTCCCGCTCCCCTCGGCCCCAAGAGGCCCCTTTCAAGCTGGAACTCTGCTAGACTGCTAGGAGAACCCACACTTTCCCGTGTTTTTCTGTGATTGCTCACAACCCTTTCAAATATTCTTGTGACCCACTTTTGGGTCACAACCCATGGGTTGAGAAACACTATAGCATGAGGTGTTATCCATCATCTGGGTCTATCTTACCTGATCCATTCTCTGCTATTGTAGTGGTCTCAGGCACCTTGGTCTCTCCTGCTCTCTAACTACATGTTTTGGTTTAAGAACTGAAGTCTTTGGCCCCAGTGTCACATACATGGATGAAATACAATGGCCTTTGACATACAGATTGTTAGATTGGATGTTTTTTGTCTTCTCTGGCCTTAAGTTCTATGAACTCTGAGAAGGAAAGAAATAGAGACATGAAAAGGAAAGCCTCTCCATCAAGACGTTTTGGAGATTTCTCAGCGCTGTCCTCAAGTCTTCAGAGATTATGGTCCTACCACAGCTACAATCACTGCAACTAAGACAGTGAAGGCAACAGAGAGTCCAGGGATATTGTGAGCTACACTCTACATAAAAGAAGGCTCTTCTTTATATAAAAGTCACCTGATTAAACACCAGGGAAAGATATATCTTAGAAATATACAAGAAAGTAGGAAAGAGGAGGGATTTTAATGGCATTGAAAAGCAGAGGGATTTATAGGGCTTTTCAGTTTCTCACTGTAAGCAGGAAAATAATTTCAGGCAGTAGAAAGAACTGGGCAATACATCGTTTTGTTAAAGAGATGGAAATTAGCACAATATGGAAGCAAAAGGAATGAAGAGTTGGCCATTGCCATCAGACAACTTTGGTTATATTTCTCATTCATGCACAAAACCCAAGGTTTGATTTCTTGGCCTAGACTAGCTACTCCATTTTGAAAGAATACTAATTTTTTCCAGACTAGACAAGTCTATCTTCCACCCCAAAATGAGGTTGGGGATAAGGGTGATTGGTACAAATGCTGCATAAAGAGAATGGAACATCTCACAGCTGTGCCTGATCCTGGGGTAGTGATGGGAGGGTGGGGGTCTTTCCCACAGAAGAAAGAGAGGAAAGAGACTTCAACTCTTAACTATCTATTTTTTT